ATTCAGCATCTTTATGCTATTTCAAGCTGCTTTTGACACGACAATCGGAAGTTGCATTGAATTAAACTGTTATGATTTACAATAAGATTCAATTTAAAAAACAAGCAAACAATATTTTTTGTTTTATTTTCCCGTCAAATAACGGAGTTCCTTTGGAATTCTTCAGCTTTTTAGAACTGACGGTTTCTCCAGTAGTGGGCGGAACTAACGCGCAAACGGCAATCTCATTGGCTGGTGCTCACCTAATATCATCCCTGTTTTGATTTCAGCAAATCAATTCGAGCGAACGCAGACAAAGTGATTAATATTCATGACTCCAGCAGCTCATTAATCGTTAGCACGTTTTATATTGTTAGTAGTAGTAGAATTCGTAGTAGTATTGCTATCTTTTAAGTATTATTTTTAGTTTTTTTTAATAGAAACACTAAATGACAAACAATATTTTAAGCACCACCACCAGTCCTAAGTTGAGTTAAAATGACAAATATGCATTTGTACATGGTTATTCTAATTACTAAAGTTCTATCATCAAATAATATAGTATAATCAAATATTTAATTTTAGTCTGGTGAGTAAATTACTAGCCAATGGCAATTCTATTGCCAAGGTGTCCATAGAGGGTTGCTTATTGTAAAGTGTAATTATAAATTTTATTTCTTTAAATGTAATTGAAAATTATATTTATATTAACATAAAATTATATAAATTAAAATCATGCAAATAAATTTACTTTATTTGTTATAATAATTTAATGTAGCATAATAAAATTAATTTATTAAATATATTTTTTTACTACTACTACTATTATTATTATTGTTATATATTTATTACTTATATTTTTTAATGAACTATTATTATTATATTACTTACTATTAATAAATTATTTATTAGTTTATATTATTATGATTATTATATTAACTCAAACTGAAATTCAATTAATACATTAATTTAATTTATTATAAATTATATTATTATCATTAAATGTCAGTTGAAAAGGGAAAGTTTAATTGTTTACTATTAAATTAATTTATAGTTTTACATTATTATTATTATCATTATTATATAAATTCAATAAAAATAAATAAAAATATTTAGAATATTTTTAAATTGTGTCTACACACACCACACACACATTAGTTTATTATTTAATACATTACATTTATTATGAATTATATTATTATTATTATTAAAAATGATGTAATTAAATGTCAGTGGAAAAGGCGAAGTGAGGGGGAGAGACTTGCAGAAAGGAAGAAAGGGCTGTAGTAAAAGGAACAGAGATGGACGGCAAGATTACTCTGAGGATCAGAGACGATGGTACAGACTGAGCTGATTTCTGTATAGAGAATTTTTTTTATAGAAATGTGCGAGACGGTGAGATTTCTTCAGAATGGATGAGTCATGAATTGAACTCGGCTGTGTGGATCCACAAAGTGCTGAGCATCTCTGATCAGAGGCAGCGACACTTCAAACCGGACGCAGAGAGAGAAAAGTGACATTAAGATTCCTCAAACTGCGCTTAAGTGGGACAAACGATACAGAGCCGAATTTGGAAATGGCAGCGCGAAAGCTGTGATTTAAAAAAATGGCTAATAAAAGGGGTTCGGTGGCAGGGTCAGAACAGTCCAATTAAAACCGCACGAGGAGCGGCAGAACAAACACGGCTCGTCCTGCAGGGTAGCAGCCAATTAAACGCGTCTGATCAAACGGCATGGGCTGCGGTGAGATCATCCTCTCTGGCGCTCGGCAGTGCTAACGAGTTCCTGCGCCCAGAGTTTGAAGGAGGAAGGGTCACAGCGCGAACTCTGGAAGTGAAGGATGAGATTAGAGATCAGAAGAGGTGAAGAAAACAAGGCAAACTGACCAAGAGGTACTGTCTACTTAGGCTTCTACCTTCTAATAAAGCACTGATTTAGGACATTCTTCATAGGCAGCAACTCAAATGCAGCTCCTCACACAAAAGACCCAACCCCAAATTGACTACAATTGAGTTTTCCATAAGCATGCTACTAAGCTGACAGCACAACACTCTAATAATTATCAAAATACATAGCACACATAATTATGAGGTAAAATAATGCACTTCTAACCCTAGGCCTAACTGCTTTGCATCAATTGTATCTATCCACAAAAGATGACAAGAGTTTACTGCTAACATGTTGCTAAGCTAACATCACAACACTCTAATAAGCATCAAAATACATAGCACACACAATTATGTCAAAAAATACTGCACTTGTAAACCTAAAACTTAATGCTTTGCATCAATTTTATCTATCCACAAAAAGATGACACGAGTTTCCTGCTAACTAAGCTAAGCTAACAGCACAACACTCTAATAAGCATCAAAATACATAGAACACACAACTATTAGCTTAAATAGTGCACTTGTAGCCTTAAACCTAACTATTTGTAATAATTTTATCAATCCACAACAGATTACACAGGTTTTTTCATCAACATGTTGCTAAGCTAACAGCACAACACTCTAATAAGCATAGAAATACAGAGTAAACAAACATATTAAATAAAAAATAGTGCACTTGTAACCCTAAACCTAGCATTTTTATCAGTTTTATCAATCCACAACAGATTGCAAGAGCTTTTCGCTAACAGATTGCTAAGCTAACAGCACAGTACTCTGCTAAGCACAAAAATACATAAAATATTAGCTAAAATAGTGCATTGTAACCCTAGGCCTAACTGCTTTGCATCAATTTTATCCTTCCACAAAAGATTACACGAGTTTCCTGCTAACTAAGCTAAGCTAACAGCACAACACTCTAATAAGCATCAAAATACATAGCACACACAATTGTGTGGTAAAATAGTGCACTTACGGCCTTAAACCTAACTAACAGATTACAAGAGTTTTTGGCTAACATGTTGCCAAGCTAACAGCACAACATTCTAATAAGCTTAAAAATACCTACAAAAACATATTTGGTAAAATAGTGCACTTGTAACTCTAAACCTAGCATTTTTCTCAGTTATATCAATCCATTCATTTGCTATCTTGTATGGACTTTTTTTTTCCCACTGAGCCTGACGCAATGCATTCTGGGATTGCCTTATCCACAAAATATAGCCAGCGCTACAGCTAAAACTAGGCAACTTTTACAAAAGCCTTCACATCTGGAGCTAACCTATGACGCCGTCTAAAAAACAGAAGGTATTGGAAAAGAGCTAATGTTTTGGGAAGGTGGTCTGACACCTTCGGATTTCGGGATTTTCACGATGCCAAACCCGTGGTTGTGCAGTCCAACGTTCCCGCTCTGATCTTTTGTTGGCTAGCACTCTGAACCCAGCGCTCTCACAGCGTGTCCAGGGTCAAGCTAAGGCCAGACACACCTGAATGTGTAAAGAAGCGTGCGAGCGTCTGACACCTCGCAGGAAGCGAGCAGATGGCGAAATCTGGGCTGCTGTTGGTGTTGGATTCTATGAAGTGCTAGCTCTGGGTCGCTGGTGGACAAGACTGCCAAGAAGGGCTGAAAGCCAGGGTCAGAATGAAAAGAAAAACAGCAAGGCTACAAGAGAAGAAAGCGGAGGAGGGGAAGCGAGGGTTCGCCACCCGTAGTGACATGAAGGAGAAGCAGCAGCGACGGCTGCAGGTGTCTTTGCCTCGATTTTCTCCAAGACTCCTCCAAGGACTCTCAGAGGACTCTGCGACACGGTGGAAAAGCAGATGGCACATCTTAAGCATTCTGCTCACCGCTCTTGTGGGCAGCCAGAAGGCAGCTAAAAACAAACCTAAGCCCCTGGAAAGAGCACCGGCAGATTTACAGCAAAGCCTTCCTGTGTTTTCTCTGCCGCAGGTGGGCGGACACACCCTGAAGACGGCAAGGCGACTGGGTACTTAATGAAGTCACCAGCTTCAGAAGCTGGCCAGGGACAAAATGAAAGAAGAGCCCACTGGAGACCACAAATTGCAGCTGCAATGGTGGACAGTTTAATTGATTTTGATTGATGTCCGTGCAGACGTTCTGGAGCAGAGGCGCTCTCCTCTGGGAGCGAGCGGACACATGTGTCGTCCTTTGTACGAGTGTGTATGGGGCTTGCTCTTCTGATAAGGTTCGATGTAAATGCGGGCCCACAGCAGATGGGGATGAGAGAGCGAAGGGGGGAGCAGCCGTTTTTCCCCCCTAGTGCTACCTCCTGTGTTCCTTCCTGAGCCGCATGGGTCTTGCCAAAGCCAGGATTTTCATGTAAAACTGGGCTGCCTACAAAAACCCTCAGCTTGGGTTCGGGCCCAGGAAGAAGCCTGCAAGCTGCCTACTCCAGCGCTCGGCATTGACAAGGCAGATGGCTAGACATCAGCGCACGGGGAACAAACGGATAACTCGATGCTGAGGACGACAGAGGTTCTATGATTGGCTAGGATGGATTTAGAGTTTCTGCGACAGTAAGATTGGGTCACATTCAAGTTAACCAGAGAACGCTGGTCAGTTTCTTCAAGGGTTTGCTGAAATGGTCCTGTAGTGCAGTGTTTCTCAACTCCAGTTTTGGGGACCCACCTCCCAGAATGTTTTAGATGTCTCACTAATTAAAACATCTGATTCAACTCATCGGTTTGAATGGATACGTATCTAAAACATTCTGGGAGGTTGGTCTCGAGAACAGGAAGAGGATACACACTTAAATCAAGGGGATCCAATTAAACACACCTAACCCAACTACTCAAGGTCTTCAGGATCACTACACCCTCAGAAAAAAAAGGTACAAAAGCGAATACTGGAATGGTACCCTAATAAAAGGTATGTACCATTTAGATACAAATATGTACCTTTAAGGTACTAATATGCACCTTTTGGGGGTAAGTAAGGTAAAAGGGTGTACCTGTTAAAAGGGTACCACTGTAGTGACAGATTTTGCAGTGTAGAAACTTCCAGGCAGATGAACTTTACAGGACAGTGGCCCTCTAGGGGCAGGATTGGAAACCACTGACTTTAAGGGTTAGAGTTTGCCAAAAAAATTGTTGACCCATTTGACTTTAGTCTTACCTCTAATGATTGACAGCTTAGCTTGGACACTGATTTCGCCTTCGCTGTTCTCCGCCACACACTCATAGATGTTCTCGTCTCGAGGTGCCCGTAGAGGCTGGATCCTTAGGACGGCCCCTGCACCTTCATCAAACTCTATTGTCTGTGTAAGAGGAAAGAGAGTCAGTATATTACACTGAAATGGTAAAATGTCTTTAACACAGTTGCCAATTCAATCCTAGAATTGAGAGTTACCAATCCCAAGTGTCTCGAGACCAAGGCACTTAATTCCTAGTTGCTCAAGGGGGAACGGTCTTGGTAAATGACATGTAACTTCCCTGCTGCAAAGTTTTGGATTGATCAACTGGCATCCCCAACTTTTGACCCTTAACCCTAACCCTTCTCATGTTGTGCTCCTATTTTAAGGCGCCAAAATGTCCTCCAACGTCTAGATGTTGCTATGAGCTCAAAGTATGTAAGAGAGTTAATTAGGCTTCTGCGGTGCTTTCGCATTTGATGTCATTGTAGCGAAACAGTCACTAGAATCAATAGGGAATGACAAAGAGGAACGAGGCTCTTTGTAAGCCAGTGGCAAAACTCTCTTTCATTTTTTGGGGGGTGAGTTTTCAAGGCTACGATAATGAGAAGCAGATGTTGTGCTCCTATTTTAAGGCGCCAAAATGTCCTCCAACGTCTAGATGTTGCTATGAGCTCAAAGTATGTAAGAGAGTTAATTAGGCTTCTGCGGTGCTTTCGCATTTGATGTCATTGTAGCGAAACAGTCACTAGAATCAATAGGGAATGACAAAGAGGAACGAGGCTCTTTGTAAGCCAGTGGCAAAACTCTCTTTCGTTTTTTGGGGGGTGAGTTTTCAAGGCTACAATAATGAGAAGCAGCCCAGTGATGGCACACTGTCCTAAGTGTGTGCAGATCAATATCAAAGCAAAGCCTTCAGGGGAAATGAATTAATTCAAACCCCTCACGAAATGACTTTTAAATGCAACCAAGATGATAATTTGAGTGTACTCTTGGGTTCACGCCGACAAGTGAATCGAATCCACCAACGTGTTTTTGTGTTGATCTTTTTTTGAGGGAAGTTTTTCATCTTTGTTGAATAGTGACAGCGTGGTTAAATGCAGAGCTAATTTTAATTAAGATACACTAAACATTGATCAACACTACAGCTGCCAGCTGTGTTATGACAAAAGAACACAGCAAACAAGAAAGGAATATAAGACACAGGCTAACACCCACAGAAGCTAGGATATGTATGCTACGTAAACACTTCAGATTGAACCAAAAAACAATTCCAGATGGCATTTTGTGAGAAATACCACAGAAACAGCTGATTATTCATCTCACATACTGAATACGTGCTAGCATGCCAAGTCTCACCTCGATGCGTTGAGAGTTCACCCTCTTTCCTTTCTTATTCCAGGTTACTCTTGGCTTGGGGTCACCTGTGGCTTGGCATACGAAGGATACGACACCTCCGGAGACGCCGATCATGTCGACAGGTACTTTTGTGAACCTGGGTGGAGCTAAAGAAAAAGAAAATTTACGATTAGCATTTAGCTGTTTTGGCACCAAAACGCCTTACATTCTGGTAGTTTGGTCAAAAGAATCAAGAAAGAGATAATGACAGCTGATATCACTTCCTGTTCAGACTGGAAATGCAAAGTCAAGTTAAACGCATTGCATTGTGGGAAAATAGCCTCTTGCAGTGTTTTTTGCGCATTTTAGTGAATTTAGCATATCATACATTCAACGTAGACATAAAATGTTCATTATATACTGCATAAATAGTAAGAGTAGCATGCTGCTAGCAAGCTGTAGTAAACAGTGAGTGCAGGTAAAGTGAAGCTAACCCAATTTGTCACAAGGCCACTGTAACAGCAAATCAATTAAATTAAATTACCAAGTGATTGAACACACCCACACACACGCAATTTAACAGTTACTCGCAGCGCATTCGACTGTAAAATAGCCAGTGAGGGGACTACGACTGAAGTGGGCTAGTGACCCGTTCTGCTACGATAGAGATGTCGTCAAGAAACGGGGGCCGCCATGCGTCGGCGCAAATGGAAAGTGGCTGTTTTTCAGCACACCGGTAATTACACCACAGACAATGTGCACGTTGACACCACCCTGAATAATTTATTGGCCAATGAATAATAAAGTACCTACTACTCTGCCTTGATTTGAAAGCCCCTTGTCAGGTGAAGCATCCAAAACCCTACGCACGTTTCCCGTAAGACATGCCAGCTGTAAGCTAACAGCATGCAGGACTGACAGTCACTGACGATAGATTGTGACACAGCTATTCCAGCTTCTGGAGAGCAGGAGCTGTCATCTATTTTTTTCTACCATTACTGCTTGTTCTTTGTGGATTACACTACTTTTGGAAAACAGGAAATTGTCATTTTTTTCCTCAGAACCCGGCACAGTTTGTTCTCGGCTCATCAAATTATCATGCTGTCTACCTCAACTCTTCTCGGCAGGCCTCCGCTGGCGCTTGCTTTTTCTTATATATATATATATTAGGGCTGGGCAAGTTAACACGTTATCACGTTAACGCATTAATTAATTAACGCCAACAATTATTTTAACACAGTTTTAATTATTATTATTATTAGGGATGCACCGAAATGAAAACTCTGGGCTGAAACCGAAACCGAAAATTCTGGATGCACTTGGCCGAAAACCAAAACTGAAACCGAAAATGCTTTGTAATGATTATTTATTATTTGATTAAATAATATAAAATAATTTTGTAATACTTTTTAATTTAACTCAATAATTTTAATGATACTAAATTTTAAAAAAACACAAGCCAATAAAATAACCACACTTTTACTGAAAGTAACACAATAAAACTGGACAGAATTTATAT